AAAATTTGAGAAAAAGAAAGTTTTAGTGAAAATGAAAACTTTGGTATCTATAGATTTGGTTTTATGCATGCAACGACATGGTCTTCATGGATGGGCACTAATATTTTAGTTTGACAAAACATAATTAGTGCTTTTAAGCACAAAGCTTGGGTAGTAGACAAAGCATTTGCCCTATTAAACTTATATGCTTGGAACAAGTCAAGAACAAGCCCTTTTTTTTTTTTTTTTTTAAAATTCCTAGTAGGGGAAGGGTGCGATTTAAGACGTAAGAAGAAAAAAGAAAATTTGAACCTAGGACCTTTAGGCTTTGACATTTCAACTTATGCCACTAAACCCAAGGCCTCTTTGGTCAAAGACAAACCTTCTAATTGTGAAATCACTTGAATTAAAGTTTATAATTGTTTTTTCTACAATTGTCAACTCTTAAAATTGAAAAGTTCCTAAAAAGATCTTTGATTATTGTGAAGGGCTTATTCCATTTTGCCCTAGAAGTTCTTTTTATTTTCAATATGCTCTTTAAACTTTTAGTTAGGAAACTTTACACCCTAATTTTTTTTTATTTTCAAGGGAATTCTAATCCTTACAAAAAGAAAAGAGAAAACAGAAGAGTTTGAAATTCGAATAAAAATCCCATGATACTTTAATAATGTCGCTACCAATTAGATCAGATGTTGAGACTCTATTCTAACATATATGCATCCTACTTATATATTTTCCCGAGAGTTGTAAATAATATTGTAACAAAGATATTCAGATAATAACATAGACCAATTCACCGAACTATCACACCAAATCCAAACATCCATGAATTTAGGTCAATTTTATTGAAGTTATTCCATAAGCATAACGAGCATTAAGATACAAGATACAACCAACTCCAAGATACGAAAAAAAAAGGATACAAAACAAATGTCCAAAGGGTTAAAAAAAAAAAAAGGAAAATCAAAGTTCAAAGCGATAAATTACACAATTAGGCATTAATGGTGCGAAATGGGTGGGTACTTATGCTAATGCATGTGATCAAAATATAATGTCAAGCATTCTTGATGGAAATTGCAAGTCTTTCTAATTTGGAGAGGATATCATTTCTCTTTGAATTAAACCGCAAACCTTTTACAAGTCCACTAAAGTTTGAAGTTATAGCCTATGCTAATATTTAGATATTTTCTTTTTGTGTCATTCTATGGATTTTGTGATAAAAAGGTCAAAAAATCATTTTATTTCAATATTGGCAAATGTTTTCATTATAAAATTACATATCATAATAACAATTAAAATTGGTTTTAATTCTTTTTGTGTTGCTGTAATGTACTTTTCTTTTTTTTTCTTATGAACTTAAATTTCTAGGAAAGTATACTTAGAAATTTGAGTTTATAAACTTGAAGAGGTGATTTTTGGCGGGTAATTAGTCCAACCGGAATCAGCTCTCTTGTTAATGTGGTGAGGTGAACCCGATTATCTCACCTAGGGTGGAATGAAGTGAGGTTGCACGGTCGAAGTGGAAGGCGGGGCTTTTCCTCTGGGATCACTCCGACGATCAAGTTAGTATGAGAACGAGAATAATAAGAGTATGAGTGAGTGAACAGTATGCTTACTTGTTGGGAGTGTGTGTGTGGTATTTATAGAAGGAGAGTAGAGGACAGGGCGGAAGGCTCATGCTAGTGGGACCCACTCTCTGGCATTACGGCTCTGTCCCATGTCAGGAAGCTTGACCCTGACACTGTAGCCTTCTGGGTATGATGACGGAGAGTATTGTGCAGGTGCCATTAAGAGCCTCCAGTGCTTTTCAGATAAAGCACTGGTCCCGGGTGATGTCAGGTGGCTTGACATCATCAGCGTGCAGCTGAGGTGGAGGTGCCGAGGTCACCTACACGGTAGACTAGGGATCCGGCCGAGCTCAGGGGTTATGCTCAAGACACGGATGAGCTCTGATGAGGGACGAGGTGGGTTCACCTCGGACATGCGGGGTGGCCGAGGTGAGCATCCTCAATAAGCCCCCCAAGCCTCGGGAGCTCCGGGCCAGGGAGGTACCGAGGCTTCCTTGTGCCGAAGTCGTAAAGAGTCGGGGTCCCGAAACTGCTCCAGAAGATGCGGGGACGTGACACGTGGGCGAGTCAGTTGACAGGACGTGGTCACTGGTAACCGTCGCGTCGTGAAGTAGTGGGACGTTTCGTGCAGAGGGTGTCAGTCGAAAGGACGGGGCATTAATGAGGAGAGAGGGAGGCACGGCGTTTTGAATTCGAACGTGGCCGTCTTTCCGCATTCTTGCCGCCTCTTCGGATTCCCCCCAAACCCTTATAAATAGGGGGTCTTTTTCACCGTATGGCCCATCACTTTCTTTCTTTGCCTGCGACTTGCAAAATTTACGAGTGTTGCCGAGATCAATCCTGCCAGCCGAGATCCCAGCCGAAGTCATCATCTTCGTTCGATACCGTAGTCAACAGTAAGTATATTTCTTTCCATCTCGTCTTACACACATGGCCAAAATAGCTAAGACCCATAAAGAAACCGTGACACCGAGCTACCAGACCGAGGTGAGGCTGGATCCTGAAGAAGTGACGACGTCCAGCTCTGAGGGGTCGACGCCGAGTTCTGAGGAAGGATCAGCCGAGGTGAGAGCCGGCGAGGCAGGCTCGGAATTAGAGTCATCCGAGATGAGCGAGGGTGGTTCCGAGGTCGTCTACGATATCGAGTTCTGGACCGAGATACCCCACGACGAGGGCGTATCGGAGCCAGTCGCTCCGAGGGACGCGGCCAACATCGACTTCAGCAAGATACCGAAGTTTAGGAGTCGCATAGGAAGAGATAGGGCCGAAAAGGTGTTAAGCAAGTACCCTTTCCGGCCGGGGTATATCATCACACCGCCCGGGCCAGATGACTCAGCTGAGAAGCCCCCCATGGGTATGGTGGCCATCTACGTCCAACAGTTGGAGGCCGGGCTGAAGATGCCGACGTCGAGGTTCTTGAGAGACGTACTTCTTCACTTCCGCGTGAGGATTACTCAGCTCACTCCGAACGCCGTCCGCATCCTCGTAGGTTTCGAGATGTTGTGTCGACATCAGGAGGTGACTCCCTCTGTGGATCTCTTCCGCCGATGCTACACTCTCAAGACGCATGGGACGGACAAGGGATGGTTTTATATCTGCAACCGGAACAATGCCATCCCGAAGTTCGTGATTGGTGCTCCCAACTCGATCAAGAATTGGAAGCGCGACTTCTTCTTTGTATCCGGAGTGGACTTCCCCAGGGGTTTTTTGTGGAGGTCAATTAAAGCGAAGGCCGACCCTTCCGCAAGGGATGCCGAGGAGGAGGCCTTCCAGAAGCTGATGGGGTCAGAACTTCAGATATACAGTTTGGACTACCCCGAAGCCGTGCTGGTTGACGGGGGGATTAGCCGAGTTTTGCTCAATCCTGACAAGGCTCCCTTCACTTCCACTAAACTTAAGAAACCTTGTAAATTTTCTTTCATGGCTTTTCTTTCATTTCGGCTGTGGCAAATAATAATGTTTGTTTCTTGTGCAGTGGTCAAATTGTCCGACATCGTCACATCGGGTTCGGCCGAGGTGGCCAAAAGGTCGAAGAGGAAGAGCTCCGATGAGACGTCGGCCCCTCCGAAGAAGAAGAAGTCACAAGGGTAGGCCGCCAAAACTTCGGCGGCCAAGAGCACTCCCGCCACGGCAGCCCAAAGCAGCTCGGCCGGCGCGGCTACTGGGTCTACCTCTCCTGTGTCAGAAGGAGTGCCTCTTGAAATTTCAGGGCACTCCCGCCTCCTTATGACCGAGGTAAGCAGCTGAAGCCCCCAGTCAATCCGGTCTCGGGGACCTCACTATGAAACCGTTTCCATAGCCCCCCGGTGTTTTTTGGGAAGGAGAAAACGCACCCCGACGAGCACTGGTGTCCGAACTAGACACTTACGGTCAACGACAGGTGCAGCCATCCTCGGGTTGCACAAGAGCTGGTGATGCAGTCCACCTTGCCAAGGGACTTGGAGTATATGAAGAAACTGACTCCGGCCGAAGTGGTTCAAAGCCTCATGGTGACCACAGCCTCCAACTCAGCCTTTGTGGCCGAGATGACACACCGATATTGTGCTCTGGTCGAGGAGCAGGATTCCGGCAAGTTACAAAATCAGATCTCCAAGTTGGAGAAAAAATTGGCCGTGTCCGAGTCTGAGAAGGCCGAGTTTCAAAGACAGCTTAAAGAGGCCGAGACGAAGGATGAGGAGGCCGTGGTTACAATCAACAGCCTCAGATCGGCCCTCGAGGAAGAGCAGAAGAGGGGGGACGAGGTAAAGAAGTCCCATGAACAAGCCCTCGAGGAGGCTAGAGCCTCGGCCGTGGACGCATTTCGGAGGTCCGAGGGCTTCACCCAAGATCTCGGCCAACTGATCACGCCGAGATTCATGTTCGGCTTCACGTCAGGCGTGGACGCGGCCGCAGCTCACCTCTCCTCCGAAGCCTCGGAGTCGCTGAAAGACAATGCCAACTACAATGAGGACTCCAAGGAGTTGTGCGACCGGATGGCCGAGGGCATCCAAGCTGGAAGGAACCTGGCCGAGGTCCGAGAAGAGTTCAACAAATGGCTATCCGAGATCGACGAGGTGTTTGATGAGGATGGAGGAGAAGAAGATGAGGGAGACATCGGCGAGAAGGTCGTCGAAGAGCCTGGAGGGGGAGAAGAGATTCACTCCGGCGGAGAGGAGACCGGAGAGAAGGCTGTCCAGGAGGGAGCCGAGACGGGGAAGGGAGCCGAGACAGGGGTCGGCTCGTAGACATTTAGGTAGGGTTCCGAGGTGGGAGATGCTTAGTAGCACTCCCTACCTCAGCCTTGTATTCTTTTTTATGTTGTCCTTTCATTAAATGAAATGTTTATTCTTCTTATCTCGGCACTTTAATTTCTTACTTTGATTTCGTCCCTTGCTTGTTCCCTTTATTTTTGAATAGCGTAATATCGATGTTGAAAAATAACATAACATCCGAAATCATTAATTGATTAAAAATTCAAGCATAGTACATTTTGAGGTTCTCGGCGTGCCAAGACCTCGGCACTAGTGAGCCATCTCGGTAGCTCAGTTTACAATATCTCTTAAGGTCAGATTCCACAACTCGGTAAGGGTCTTCCCATTTCGGGCACAATTTTCCTTGCGGTTCAGCTCGGCTGATCGAGTTTTTTCTGAGAACCAAGTCTCCAGACTGGAATCTACGGTGTCTGACGCGGGCATTGTAATAGTGTGCCAGTGTGTTCTTGTAGGAAGCTATCCGGGTTGAGGCGAGGTCCATTCGTTCCTCGACGAGGTCGAGACCCAACTGTCTCTTTTTGTCGTTCACCTCGGCGGCATAGGCTGCCAGCCGAGTGTTGGGGGTAAGGATCTCAGCCGGGATGACAGCCTCGGCGCCATAGGTCAGGGAGAAGGGGGTCTCTTGCGTTGCTGACCTCGGCGTGGTTCGATACGACCACAGGACACTGGGGAGTTCCTCCACCCAAGATGACCCAACTCGGTGTAGTCGGGTCTTGAGACCATGAAGGAGAATTCAGTTGAAGTTTTCTGCTTGACCGTTGGCTTGGGGGTGGCCCACCGAAGTGAAATGTTGTTTGATGCCAAGGTTTGTGCACCAAGTTTTAAAGGGGTTCTCGGCAAATTGCCTTCCATTATCCGAGATGATGACTTGAGGTATGCCGAAGCGGCAAACGATGCATTTCCAAAAGAATTTTTGAATTGCCAGTCCGGTGATGGTCCTCAGAGGCTCGGCCTCAACCCGCTTGGTGAAGTAATCCACAACGGTTACCAGGAAAGTATAACCCCCGACGGCTCTGGGGAAAGGACCTATGATGTCTGTCCCCCATTGCTCAAACGGCCAAGGTGAAGTGATGGGAACCATGAAGCTTGCGGGCTGGTGAAACTCGGGTGCGTGGACTTAGCAGGAAGGGCAGCCGAGAACGAGATCCTGGGTGTCTTGCCGAACAGAGGGTCAGAAATATCCAAGAAACAGAGCCTTCTTGGCTAGCATTCTGTGGCCGACGTGAGTTTCACACAGGCCTTCGTGGATCTCGTGGAGGACCTGGCGTCCTGCCTCGGGGGTGACACACCTCAGCCACGGGCCGAGGTAGGAGCGCTTATACAGTTCTTCATCGCGGAAAGCATACCGAGCAGCCTTGCGTTTGTATCTTTCTCGCCTCGGCTCGATCTTCGGGAAGGGTTCCCTGACCCAAGAAGAGGATGAACGGGGTCATCCAAATATCTTCAGAGTGCACAGGGTAGGCCACCTCTTCCATGTATCCCGGTTCATTCAGGACTTCTACTAAGACTGTCTTGTTGAGGTCAGAGAATGATGTGGAAGCCAGCCGGGATAAGGCGTCGGCCCGCTTATTATGGGATCGAGGTATCTTTTGGATTTCGAAGGACTCGAAATACGCGGTAAGTTGATGAACTTTGGAGAGATACCGTTGCATGGTCTCTTCCTTGGCTTCGTATTCACCAAGAACCTGGCGTACTACTTGTTGGGAGTCACTGCGAACATGGATCTGTTGGGCGCCGAGTCTACGGGCTAGTTGGAGTCCAGCGATCAGAGCCTTGTACTCGTCTTCATTATTGGTGGCCGGGAAGCCAAAGCGGAGGGCGTACGAGCACACCTCTCCCTGAGGTCCTTCCAGGAGCAGTCCAGCTCCGTAGCCATCTCCATTAGAGGATCCATCGACATACAATGTCCATGGGGTGGGGTGGACACCTCGGCACTGGCGGAGGTGGACTCTGGACCTTCCGTGAAGGTCAACTCGGCGAGGAAGTCGGCTAAAGCTTATGCTTTTATGGCAGTGCGGGACTCATATGACAAGTCATACTCTCCCAATTCGACAGCCCACTTGGTGAGGCGACCAGAAGCCTCGAGACGCACCAATATCTGCTGGATGGGCTGGTCGGTCCTGACGGAGATGGGATGAGCCAGGAAGTAAGGCTTCAGCCGCCGGGCTGCGTGGACCAGTCCTATTACGAGTTTCTCCACCTGGGTGTATCGAATCTCCGGCCCGCGGAGAGCTCGGCTAACATAGTAGACTGGTACTTGAGTGCCCTCATCTCGGATAAGCACAGCGCTGACAGCCTCGTCGGCTGCAGAGAGGTAGAGGTAGAACTTCTCCTCGGGCCGAGGTGAAGCGAGAGTGGGTAGGTGATGGAGGTATTGCTTCAACTTGTCGAAAGCAGCCTGGCACTCTTCCGTCCAGGCAAACTGATCAGCCTTCTTGAGCACCTTAAAGAAGGGCAGAGCTTTCTCAGCTGATTGGGACAGGAAGCGGTTCAGCGCGGCCAGACGTACATTCAGCCTTTGGATTTCTCGGATGTTCCGAGGTGGGGACATGTCCTGAATGGCCTTGACCTTGTCGGGGTTGGCCTCGATTCCCCGGTGGGAAACCAGATAGCCAAAGAATTTTCCCGAGGTGACGCCGAAAACGCATTTCTTGGGATTGAGCTTCATCCTTGAGTCCCGTAAGACACCGAAGACCTCCCTTACGTCCGACAGAAAGGCTGAAGTGGTGAGGCTTTTGACGAGAATGTCGTCTACATAGGCCTCCACATTGCGGCCGATTTGGTTTTTGAAGAGTCGGTTGATCAGCCTTTAGTAGGTCGCCCCGGCGTTCTTTAGCCCGAATGGCATGGTAGTGTAACAATAAGTACCTCGGTCGGTGTAGAACGCCGTTTTCTCTTGGTACTCTTCACTCATTCCTATTTGATGATACCCTTTGAAGGTATCTAGAAAGCAGAGGATCTCATATCCCATTGCCGAGTCGACCAGGGTGTCTATCCTCGGCAGAGGGTAGCAGTCTTTGGGGCAGGCCTTGTTGAGGTCGGTGAAATCCACACACATTCTCCAACCACCGATACCTTTTTGACCATGACTGGGTTGGACAGTCAAGTGGAATATTGGATCTCATGGATCATCTTGGCCGGCAAGAGCTTGTCGACCTCATCCGATATGGCCTTGCTACGTTCGAGGCCGAAGTGCCTTCGTTTCTGCCGCACAGGTCGGGCCTGTGGGTTAACGTTGAGCTGGTGAATCATGAGCTCGGGTGGCACTCCGACCACTTCATCAGCGGACCATGCAAAGACGTCTCGGTGGTTCTTGATCAAGGAGATCATTTCTTCCTTTGGGGGCGAGGGGAGTCCGGCCCCTATTTGGACCACTTGGTCAGGTCTCGCCTCATCCAAGACCACTTGTTCCACCTCATCCCCGGGCTCAAGCCTGCTGGGCTCTCCTATCTTCTGAGGGTCGATGCAGTCTATGGAGAGGACAGCCGACCTCTTTTCTTCTGACCTCGGCGAGGGACGAGGTGTGACTGCTGCTTGGATGGTGGCGAGGTAGCATTCCCGGGCGGCGCTCACGTCGCTGCTCACCTCGGCCACCCCCTCTGGCGTTGGAAACTTGAAACTCAGATGGTAGGTAGAGTACACAGCTCTCAAGGCATTGAGCGTGGGTCGGCCTATCAGCATGTTGTAAGGAGAGTCCGCTTTGACCACCGTAAAACTGACAGGCACGGTTCGGCAGGTGGGATAGCGCCCGATAGTCACCATCAAGGTCACCATACCCTCCGGGTGGACGACGTGTCCCCCGAAGCCGACGAGGGGAGTTCTGACCGGAGTGAGTTGCTCCCAGGTCAGCTTCAAACTCTCGAAAGTTCGGTAGTACAGGACGTCTACCGAGCTTCCGGGGTCAACATAGACCTTTTTGACTATATAATTATTAGTAAGGACCTCGATCACGAGGGTCTCGTGATTACTGGAGGCGGCGGGTACAGGGTCATGGGGACCATAGGTTATATCCTCGGACAGCTTAGAACTTTGCTCGGCCACCTCCATACCGGCTTGGCGGTAGGTCTTTTTTCGGGAGTTCTGGCTGTCTCCTCCCGTGGGGCCACCCGAGATGGTGTTGATCACCCCGGCAATATTTGGACCGTAGCCTGGTGATCCGTCGCGTGGAGGCCTCTGATCCCCCTTTCGGTCCTCGGGATCTCGGCATTGAAGTTTAGTGTCCCGCCTGTCTTCTCGGCGAGGACCTCGGCTCTCCCGGTGGGAGGCGCTTCGGTTGAAGCCCCCATCTTTGCGGACGAATTGGTTCAAGTATCCTTGTCGGATCAGGTTTTCAATTTCTCGCTTCAAGTCGTTACAGTCTTCGGTCTCGTGCCCCACATCTCGGTGGTAGGCACAGTAGAGGTTGGAATTCCTCTTATCCCTTCTTCCTGACATCTCAGGAGGAGTTCGACCGAGGTGATTCTGCCTCATCACAGCCAAAACATGAGATAGGCTGGAATTGAGGGGTGTCAGCTCGGCGTCCGAAGTGGACGACCTCCCTTTCACGATCCGATCGAAGACGATTCGGCGGTCTCGGAACTGGCTAGATGAGCTGCCGGGGCCTTGTTCAGCTCGGCCGGTGTCCTTTCTCCTCCGGAATTCTTGTCCGGTACGGGCTGCTTGGGCCTCCCGCTTCATGTGATTCACGTTCTCACTTTGGATTCCTTGATTAACTCATTCCCAAAGTTCCCGAAGTGTGCGGGGGTAGTCTCGATGTATTTCGGTGTTGAAGATTCCCGCAATCAGCCCGTTGGTAAAAGCGACTATGGTAACTTGCTCATTTTGATCAGGTATCTGTACGTTCTCCTCATTGAACCTCTGCGAATATGAGCGCAGTGACTCGCCGGAAGTCTGTTGCAAATTCAGGAGGTAAGTTGAAGTTTTTGTAATGGGTCGGGACGACACAAAGCGGTGGACGAACTGGTCTATCAGCTCATCCAGGGAGGAAATACTCCTTGGTTCTAAGCTCCAGAACCACTTCCGGGCAGTCCCATGTAGGAAAATGGAGAAAGCCCGACAGATCACAGCGTCGGGGACGCAGTAGAGTCGGAATGCGGAGATGAAGGCGCGGAGGTGATCCTCGGGATCACCTCGGCCGTCATAGGTGTGCAAGTTTGGAAGCTTAAAGTTCGGGGGCACCATCTCCCCATTGATGTCATCGGTGAAGGGCGGAGCCCTCATGTAGTCAGAAGTTAGGCCCCCGGGGCGCCGAGGTGGGTCCTCGGCCCGTTTCCCTAGCAGTCCCCGGGAAAACGCACGGGAGATGGAGGCAATTTTGGAGGTTGCCTTGGAGGAGGCGCGCCTGGAGGTACTCCGATTATCTCACCTAGGGTGGAATGAAGTGAGGTTGCACGGTCGAAGTGGAAGTCGGGGCATTTCCCCTGTGATCACTCCGACGATCAAGTTAGTATGAGAACGAGAATAATAAGAGTATGAGTGAGTGAACAGTTTGTTTACTTGTTGGGAGTGTGTGTGTGGTATTTATAGAAGGAGAGTGAGGACATGGCGGAAGGCTCATGCTAGTGGGACCCACTCTCTGGCATTACGGCTCTGTCCCATGTCAGGAAGCCTGACCCTGACACTGTAGCCTTCTGGGTATGATGACGGAGAGTATTGTGCAGGTGCCATTAAGAGCCTCCAGTGCTTTTCAGATAAAGCACTGGTCCCGGGTGATGTCAGGTGGCTTGACATCATCAGCGTGCAGCTGAGGTGGAGGTGCCGAGGTCACCTACACGGTAGACTAGGGATCCGGCCGAGCTCAGGGGTTATGCTCAAAACACGGATGAGCTCTGATGAGGGACGAGGTGGGTTCACCTCGGACATGCGGGGTGGCCGAGGTGAGCATCCTCAATAAACTAAGCAAAATTCCTTCTAAGCACTCGGAATAAATATCCATTACTTTTTAGAAAGTTCATTTGTTAAGTATACTAATCTCCTACATCAACCCTTAGTTATTATTTGTTAAATTTTGATAATCCAAAGGAAGTGGAGAAAACTCTTATTTTGAGGGTGGCAATGAAAGCTAAGAAATGTTATTGTTATTTTCAAAATGTTGCATATTCATCTAATGGCTCACATTTGAGTAGACCCGATCTTCAAAAATCTAAGGCTTAGATTGTGCTACACCATCTCACCAAGTAATGTAGTACAATTTGATCCATCGGATCTTTTAAAACCGAGTCTACCAAGCTTTTACCTCATTGGATACTAATAATATGAGGACCATATCAGCCTATAATACAATGGTGGACATATATTTCTAGGAAATTATTGCACAGAAATATTTTAGTCACCAAAGGAATAGAATGAAATAATTGATAAAATTGTTACTCATCATATGATATGTAGCATTACTATGGAACATCGACCCCCAAAGCTTGTGAGTTGAGCCTACCAAGAAACCATTGATAAATCTACCCAAGAAACCCTTTAAGGTTATTCATTTAGGTACTCGTTGTGCTTTCCTTTAGTAATTTTATTCATTTTTATTTATTTTCTAAGTAGTTTCCATACTGTTTTTCGGTATTTTCTAAGGTTTTGCTTGTTAATCGTTTTAGTAGCTTCTCTATTTTGTTGTCCCTGCAATTTGTTGCTCTAAACCTAGAACCTATAAATGGGCTTAGTTGTAATAGGTATACCAAATTTTTATTAATATTAATCAAATTACTTTGGTACTCAAGGTTTAAGATTCTTTTAAAGTGGGAAGAACTCAAAAAGCCCGCCCCTAACCACCGGGACAATTCCAGCAGTTCAGTTTAAGAGTTGATCATATGTCACTCTGAATTCTTTCTTGAATTAGTTAATGTAATTATTACTAAACTACGCTTCTGCATCATGCACTTAAGTAGGAGCAGATAAAACTGTTGATATGATGGAGTAGACAAAATAATCAATAATCAAGTCTCTTTCGCAAGTCAAACAAACAAGCAGCAATACCATTAAGACAAATGCTTGCTGTGGTCTTTCATGTTTCGACCCTTGTGAACAATGCACTGAATTGCAAAAGCAAATTGAGAAGGAGCCACCAGATGATACATAAAATCCCATTGAGCTTATACGACAGAAAGGACAGAATTTAATGGAAATTCTCAATGTCTAGGACCTACGCGGTTAAATCAGCCCATGCAATTGCAGAAAAAGAGGCAAGCAAAGTAGCTAGGGACCAGATAGCGGGGAAGGTACAAGCTACTCCCAACAGAGGGATAAGGTATGGAAAAGCCCGTGGGGCATGCATCTAAAGTACAAAGTAAAACACTTCCTATGGAAGTGTCTGCAAAATAAACTTCCTGTAAGGATCCAATATATAGGAGAACAGGCAAAGGGGGATGCACATGCACTGTGTACAAGATGTGGTGAAACTGAAGAAACAGTTGAGCATATATTCTTCTTTTGCAAATATATAGAAACAATATGGAAACTATCACCAGTCCAATGGGATGGATTGGAGGAATCACGAGGGAATTTTTGGAGATGATAGGAGGGCATTTAGATGCAAAGGCTGGATACCAGGGACGAGAGTATATCACATTGATAGCTTACATTCTATGGCAAATTTGGTAGGCAAGAAATGAACATGAATTTAATGGAAAAAGGAAATATCATAAAGCAGTTATAGTTAAAGCACAAAGT